TCCATTCCCACCCCACTCTGGGGCCGGCCAGAGGTGGTATTTGCCGGTGGTCCGAACTACTCAAACTTCTCCACTGCCGGTTCTCCAGAACCTGCTGAATTTCACCCCTGAATTTAATCCTCTTTTGAGCTGGACAACCCGTGTGGCCGTCTTTGCGATGAAGATACGGAGGCGGCTGACCGAGCTGGTTTTATTTATTTCAATATTTATTTTTTTTGGTGAGATTTCCATTCCAGATTATGAATCTGAACTCCCTGGCGTTCTCCCCATGCAAACAGTGACGCAGTTCTTTGATGGTCTCCAAAGATAAACTCCCAACTCCCCTCCCTGCGGGTGAGGAGGAGAGGGGGCCCGAAGTTGTGTAGGGTTTTCTGCCTAAGTTGGGGGGGGGTTGGACTAGAAGGCCTCCGAGGTCCCTTCCGACTCTGTTATTCTGTGTTTCTAAAGCTCCACCGTTTCTTCAGCTTCCAAGCTTGCAGGCGGGTCAACAGCTGCCCTCTTCCTGCAGGCCGAAGCGAGGTAGTTCCCCAGGAGGAGGCTGTTGTGCAGCACCTGACCCCCCCCCCACCCCCCACCCTTCAAGGAAGTGCTCCCCGTGAGGCAACACACAGGAAGGCGAGAGCTAAAACCGCAGGACAGCCCAGGGCAGGAGAGGGGCTGGCAGCCACCAAAACCTGCAATCTTCTCCCGCAAAGGAATTCTGGGGCTTACAATTTGGGGGAGGGTGTTGTGGGGGGGGGTGGAGCAGCAGAGGCAGTGCAGGCCTGCTTTTCTTCCCCTGCTGCTTTTCCAATAGAGGGTGGTCCGGGGAAGACCCTCCAGGCTTGCCCCCGCTTCCCTCGTGGCCCCGCGGCGATGGCTATCAATCCGAATAGAGCTGGAAGGGGACCTTGGAGGTCTTCTAGTCCAACCCGCTGCTCCAGCAGGAGACCCCCCATCCCATTTCAGAGAGGTGGCTGTCCAGTCTCTTCTTAAAAACCTCCAACGATGAAGCCCCTGCAACTTCTAGTGGCAAGCTGTTCCACCGGTTAATTGTGTTCCCCGTTGGGAAGTTTCTCCTCAATTCCAGGTTGTTTCTCTCCCCGATTAGTTTCCATCCATCGTTTCCTGTCTTGCCTCCTTGTTGACACACACCCCCTCTTCTTTGTGGCATCCTATCAAATATTAGAACACTGCTATCCTACTTCTCCTTTTCTCTAAACTGGCCATATCCAGTTCTTGCAACTGTTCATCGTGCGGTAGGGGAAACAGAGGGGCTCCTAAAGAAATAGAATAACAGAGTTGAAAGGGCCTTGGAGGTCTTCTAGTCCAACCCCCTGCTTAGGCAGGAAACCCATCACCACTTCAGTCAAACAGATATCCAACAGCTTCTTAAAAACTTCCAGTGTTGGGGCATTCACAACTTCTGGAGGCAAGTTGTTTCTCTGGTTAATTGTTCTACCTATCCGGAAATTTAGTTCTAAATTGCCTCTTTCCTTGATTAGTTTCCACCCATTGCTTCTTGTTCTGCCTTCAGGTGCTTTGGAGAACAGCTTGACTCCCTCTTCTTTGGGGCAACCCCTGAGATATTGGAAGACTGCTGTCATGTCTCCCCTAGTCCTTCTTTTCCTTAAACTAGACATACTCAATTTTGCAACCGTTTGTCGTATGTTTTAGCCTCTAGTCCCCTGAACTGCCACAACTTGGCAAAAGCAAGCAGTGTGACAAGGTGGTGTTGCACACCCTCCATTAATAGAAATACTTTCCGTAGCATCTATCAGGATTAGTGGATTTTAAAAAAGCTGCTTGAATGGCTGGCTCAGATCGTAATGAGAACGCTCGAAACGGAGCTGAAGATGTTCATTCTTCTGGCCCTTTCATTTAACGGCCTTTTAGCTTCAGTGGGATTCCCAAATTGACACGGAATAGGATTTCCAAGGGCCTTAACATTCCCTGGCAGGTGACCAGATGATACCATCTACGGTTTGTAAACCTATTTCCACACTACATTAGGGATTTACCAGAGCAGATCAATTCAATTCATTCTCCCCCTTCCCTCGTCCTTTCTCCTTCTCCCTTTCAAGGTAAAATCAAAGAGAACAGGAAGAAACACCGGTTTT